CACCACCACCACCACGACTACTCCTCCTCCTCCTCGACAATGTGTGCGTTCCTTCCTGTCTGGTTCACCCGCTCACAAGCAGTAAGGCAAAGAAACATTGCTTATCTTATCACCATCCTCTTCTAATAATTAATAATTCAGTATGTATCTCTACAAAACAATTTTAGGGTTCTTGCATCAATCNTAATTAAAATTTTTACTGTATTTGAAACCCAAGAAACCATGGGTTATGGGTCCTCCACCACCACCACCACCACCACGACTACTCCTCCTCCTCCTCGACAATGTGTGCGTTCCTTCCTGTCTGGTTCGCCCGCTCACAAGCAGTAAGGCAAAGAAAGATTGCTTATCTTATCACCATCCTCTTCTAATAATTAATAATTCAGCATGTATCTCTACAAAACAATTTTAGGGTTCTTGCATCAACCCTGCGCGTGAAAGCATTGGAACCGGTCTCCATGGGTCGAGTTGGTTTTTCAATGCATCATATAATAATAATAATAATAATAATAACTTGAAACGCACAGACACGAAACTTCTAAGACCAAATTATAAAGAAGAGCCAAAGCCAGAGCCAGAACCAGATAAAAGGAGCTTAGTCAATAGACTTGAGAATTTTTTCCACAACAGAGACAAAAAGTTTTAAGATCCTAATTCTGTGAAAGTTTTGTTTTTTGGTTCAGACCATTTATGGAGATATCTTTAAACCACCAATCCATCCCGCCAAGAATGGAAAAAGAAACTTATAAAATTAAGATCTTCTAAATAATTTTCTGATTAAGATGAAGGATTGTGTGCGTGCTAATTTTTGCACAATAGTTGAAATGAGAACAGATTTCTCCTACGATGAACTTTGGTTCGTCGAGAAGGCGGTTCTGACGAAATGAGAATAGGTTGAGAGGGACAAAGGGAGCTTGGGTAGTTGTAATGATTTGCTTCTGGGGTATCCGATCGACTCCGATTGAGATTCGACCCGTCGGAACGGTGGATCCGACAACAGATAAAGGGGTCTCAAGGACTGGTGATGAATTACTGTTGGGGGTGTCGATCCGGCAACAAGAAATGGATTTAGAGGGACAAAGGGGTCCTAAGGACTAGTGATGAATTGCTAGTGGTAATGTCAAACTGATTTTGAAGATCTATAAGAAATTCCTGGTACACAGAAACAGGTTAAAAGGGCGTCAGAGTGCTCTCCGACGTATCTCTTCCGATAATCAAGTCAGTTCTTTTAGAGAATGGATGAAGAAAGCACTGTATGACTCTTGTGAGGCAATGTTGTATACTTTTGTAATGTATTTTTGGAGACTATTTATACCTTCAAAGGCTTATCATTGTTGACAATCTAGACTACTGATAGCCTTCAAAGGTGGGACAGTGTGCCCCTTACTTTTAATGGGGAATGTCCCAGTATTGATTGCTTGGCTTGCCAAGTATTTAATGTTTTTTCTTGTACGTGATAACATTAATAGCTCGGATCCCCAAGCATTTAATGTTGTAACTCTTTGGCTTATCAAGTCATAGTAAATGTCTTGTTAACTGATGGTGTATTAAATGCGTGTCTTTATTGGCCGCATATCAACAGGGACAAGCCTGTCTTTTTACTCCTTATACCATGCTCGTCGCCATGTGTCTGACATTCTTTGGTTGAATGTTCAATTCAACCTGTCACCCTGAATGCTTTACGTTTGGGTGTTCTCGCAATCCTTAGCTTAGTTTAGGCTGTCCATCCGTCAATCCCTAGTATCCTCATAAGTCAAGGATTTTATGAGTCGAGGAGTATGCATAAAAGCGAGTCAGTGGGGTCACAGAAAGTACCTTCGNAGTAAGGCAAAGAAAGATTGCTTATCTTATCACCATCCTCTTCTAATAATTAATAATTCAGCATGTATCTCTACAAAACAATTTTAGGGTTCTTGCATCAACCCTGCGCGTGAAAGCATTGGAACCGGTCTCCATGGGTCGAGTTGGTTTTTCAATGCATCATATAATAATAATAATAATAATAATAACTTGAAACGCACAGACACGAAACTTCTAAGACCAAATTATAAAGAAGAGCCAAANGTTTTTCAATGCATCATATAATAATAATAATAATAATAATAATAATAACTTGAAACGCACAAACACGAAATCTCTAAGACCAAATTATAAAGAAGAGCCAGAGCCAGAGCCAGANTAATAATAACTTGAAACGCACAGACACGAAACTTCTAAGACCAAATTATAAAGAAGAGCCAAAGCCAGAGCCAGAACCAGATAAAAGGAGCTTAGTCAATAGACTTGAGAATTTTTTCCACAACAGAGACAAAAAGTTTTAAGATCCTAATTCTGTGAAAGTTTTGTTTTTTGGTTCAGACCATTTATGGAGATATCTTTAAACCACCAATCCATCCCGCCAAGAATGGAAAAAGAAACTTATAAAATTAAGATCTTCTAAATAATTTTCTGATTAAGATGAAGGATTGTGTGCGTGCTAATTTTTGCACAATAGTTGAAATGAGAACAGATTTCTCCTACGATGAACTTTGGTTCGTCGAGAAGGCGGTTCTGACGAAATGAGAATAGGTTGAGAGGGACAAAGGGAGCTTGGGTAGTTGTAATGATTTGCTTCTGGGGTATCCGATCGACTCCGATTGAGATTCGACCCGTCGGAACGGTGGATCCGACAACAGATAAAGGGGTCTCAAGGACTGGTGATGAATTACTGTTGGGGGTGTCGATCCGGCAACAAGAAATGGATTTAGAGGGACAAAGGGGTCCTAAGGACTAGTGATGAATTGCTAGTGGTAATGTCAAACTGATTTTGAAGATCTATAAGAAATTCCTGGTACACAGAAACAGGTTAAAAGGGCGTCAGAGTGCTCTCCGACGTATCTCTTCCGATAATCAAGTCAGTTCTTTTAGAGAATGGATGAAGAAAGCACTGTATGACTCTTGTGAGGCAATGTTGTATACTTTTGTAATGTATTTTTGGAGACTATTTATACCTTCAAAGGCTTATCATTGTTGACAATCTAGACTACTGATAGCCTTCAAAGGTGGGACAGTGTGCCCCTTACTTTTAATGGGGAATGTCCCAGTATTGATTGCTTGGCTTGCCAAGTATTTAATGTTTTTTCTTGTACGTGATAACATTAATAGCTCGGATCCCCAAGCATTTAATGTTGTAACTCTTTGGCTTATCAAGTCATAGTAAATGTCTTGTTAACTGATGGTGTATTAAATGCGTGTCTTTATTGGCCGCATATCAACAGGGACAAGCCTGTCTTTTTACTCCTTATACCATGCTCGTCGCCATGTGTCTGACATTCTTTGGTTGAATGTTCAATTCAACCTGTCACCCTGAATGCTTTACGTTTGGGTGTTCTCGCAATCCTTAGCTTAGTTTAGGTTGTCCATCCGTCAATCCCTAGTATCCTCATAAGTCAAGGATTTTATGAGCCGAGGAGTATGCATAAAAGCGAGTGAGTGGGGTCACAGAAAGTACCTTTGNATTGTGATGATGGTTTGACACGGTTAATTAATATAATTTATCCCGATTTATTATACATGTATGTACTGTGATTTATCATATTTACAAGAACAACATATTTTGGCTCCCAAGAACAATGATGTTGATGAAGTAAATTTCAAAATTCTAGCAATGCTTCCACCGATATCGAACTTATTTGTAAATTTGGTTTTTGCCATGAAAATTAGCAAAAGTCAATAACAAATAATGAAGCATCTGGGTCGGGTGCATATTTTTCAAAACCCTTTTTCACCCATTTACAACTATGTGTCACTTCACCTAATGGGTTAAAGATGTTGATTAGCAATGGAGATGAACAGGACAGACAAAGAATTCACTAGAAATGTGGTTTACAAAAAAGTATTTAATGATATTCTGACAAATTAAATTAAATTAAATTCAATGTTTTTTTTTTCAGGTCTTGAAAGTGTAATGGCCTAAATGCAATCATCATNGTTGCCGTTGCCGTTGCTGTCCCACAATCAACACACCCACCAATATCAGCCCAAGGTTCACAATATTACGGGATTTAGTTAGTGTATATATTTATATATGAAAGGAAACGGGCTTGGTGGGTGGAATTATGGGCCAGAGCAGATCAAAAGCCTGGCTGCCGCTGGCACCACTCATGGGCCTCTTGATGTTTTGTTTCCCCACCTAAAAGCTAAGCAACAAACACAGCTACCGATATTGTTTGTTTGGGTCTCTCTGGTACGGTTATGATTTAAGTGGTGTGTATAATAAATAAATTATTTATTGAATACTTGAAATTCACGAAAGAAAGTAGAAGAAATTGCGTTTGTTGGATGAGGAGAACCTGATTGAATACAAATTCCAAATGCACGTGTAATCAATCGTGATTGTGATGATGGTTTGACACGGTTAATTAATATAATTTATCCCGATTTATTATACATGTATATACTGTGATTTATCATATTTACAAGAACAATATATTTTGGCTCCCAAGAACAATGATGTTGATGAAGTAAATTTCAAAATTCTAGCAATGCTTCCCCCGATATCGAACTTATTTGTAAATTTGGTTTTTGCCATGAAAATTAGCAAAAGTCAATAACAAATAATGAAGCATCTGGGTTGGGTGCATATTTTTCAAAACCCTTTTTCACCCATTTACAACTATGTGTCACTTCACCTAATGGGTTAAAGATGTTGATTAGCAATGGAGATGAACAGGACAGACAAAGAATTCACTAGAAATGTGGTTTACAAAAAAGTATTTAATGATATTCTGACAAATTAAATTAAATTAAATTCAATGTTTTTTTTTCAGGTCTTGAAAGTGTAATGGCCTAAATGCAATCATCATGTCATCTACGTTACCCAGGGGAATGAATTGTTTTCCACATTCAAAATAAAACACACTCACCAAAGAGGAGGGAGGAAGAAAAACATATTCATGGTACCCAGTAGTATCAAATCATAACTCAACCAATTGAACTATAATTAAATATCAAAAATCACACCAACTTCAAGCTTTACTTGGATATTAACAGCAAACAATGGTTTACAGCAACATTTCCACACACATTTATGACGGGGGAAAAAAATAAAAAAATAATGCAGCTGCTCTTTATACACTTATCAAACAGCTGGATCTCTTCTTCTGTGGTGCTCTCAAAAAATTAACATATCACACTCAACAATTTCAAGGCAATCGAACTAAATCCTTGTTTCCTTTATTTTGAAGCCCTAAAAAGCTGGCTTCCAAGGGTCACAACTGGGGTTCCTTCCCCCATGATTGTGGTCAAGCTCATTTCTTTCTCAAGTATCCGGTCCAGTTCCATCACCACATAGCTCATGGCAGGCCGTCTCTCACTAGAAAGCTCCACGCATCTTAAAATTAACTGTATGAACTCTTCCATGCCTTCGGTTGTGAAACTATTCCCTAACCTTTGATCAATGATGGTTATAATATTGCCAGAGTCCTGATAATTTTGCACCTTGAAAAGAACAAACAACATATCAGATGCAACTACATTTTTCTACAATCCAACAGGAATATCATCTAGGTCATTGAATTTTCTAACATAATGCAATTTAATCCCTCTTCAACACCTTTGTATACATGTGTCATATCATGAACTAATCAGACAGGCATGATTCTAATCCAAATGGTATGTTTTGAAGTGATATATTTCTGTATCTAAGCATTATGTAGCGCATCAGCAGTATGAGAGAACTGCTAAATACCCATTCAACCAGGTTTTGATTGATGTCTGAAGATAGCAGTTTCATAGCTTCCTGCCCGCTTACTAACTCCAGAAGAAATACACCAAAACTGTATATGTCACTTTTTTCAGAAAATCGTCTGAACTCTTTCACCCTACAAAAGTAGATGGGATATGGATTAAGTACAGGCTATAGCATTCACCATGACAAGAAACAGGAGGATGGTTGATGGTGAGATTACTACTCTGGGGCAAGGAATATCTCATCATCTGTTACTTGAGAAGATGGCCCTGCAATATCACCTCTCCCAAGAAAATTGCGAAGTCCGGCATCAGCAACCTTCGCTATGAAATTTTCATCTACAAGAACATTCGCTGTCTTGAAATCCTTGTGTAACAAACGGGGGCTTATGGAGTGAAGATGAGCCAAACCTGTATTTTGTCAAATATTAAATGAGGCTGCATAAATAAGGAGCATTACTTGGAGACATATTGTACAAAGGAGACTTCGTGATAATGTAAGTTCTACAGAATGCTTACAAAATTATTTTGGTCGACAGAGATTGACATTAAGGATTTTACTATAAAGAGACAAACCAATACCAGGAAAGCCAACAATGCTCACTGATTTTGCAGAGGATCACCTTTAGCTGCCCCTAGAGCTATTGAAAGTCTATGCTTGAATTCAAGCTTCTCTTGTGAAACCTGACCAGATCCTGGAAGAAATAGAAATATATAAGAGTAACAATCAATGGCAAAAAATAGAACTACCAATTTAGTCTCCTTTAATGGGGGTCTGGAAAGGTAGAAGAATTAATATATGCAGGGCATGCTCAAGAGCAATGTGAAAAGCAAGAATACTGAAAAAGACGACGGATATAGATAGTTTACACATGTCATGATTCCACAATACCTTACAAAAAGTTCAGGTGCATGCTTCATGTATACACCGGATAAAAAACTACTGGCTAAGAGCAACAAAGAATGTAAGCTTAATCCTACATATTCTTCATTACTATGTGCTTCTGAAAAAAAAGAAGCTAACTGCTCGGAGGAATTACCATATAAGTGAATAGAAACGCTTCCATTAGGTATGTACTCATACACGAGAATTTGTTGATCACTTTCCTGGCAGTATCCTAAGAGGGATACAAGATTGCGGTGTTGAATAGATGAGAGATATCGTACCTGATAAGAAGTCAAATCTAATCCCATTAGACCGTCAAAGTTAAAAGCGGGAAATAATAAGAAGAGAAAGTTAACAAAAAATGAGAATGGTCGACGAGGAAGTTATATGAAAATTTTCTCTTCAATTCTAGCAACTTTCAGACCGATACTTCGGTACGATAAGGCATGCCAGGTTGCCATTTTTAACCATTTCCATAAAAATGGATTCCATAAGCTGAAAAAAACTAAGTTTTTACGCAGAAACAAATTTCTAAAGGAAAAGAAGGAATTGAAAAAAAGAATATTCACAAGCAAAATGTTCCAGATTTGGCAAATTGAAGAGAGTAGGAAACCAAGTGAAAGAAGTCATTCAATAATGGACACTTTTGAATAATAAGCCATCTGAATTCGTTCAAATAGGTCTTTAATGGTAAATCCCAAGTAGTTAGGATTTCCATTTACACATTGAGAGCAATAGTACCTATGATTTCACTGGCAGATAGGGCCCCCCATAAAAGGGTCAATGAAATAAGGTTAAATTTATTGCAGACTGAAACAGGAGGAATACAGCTTTCTCGTGTTCAATTGCTGAACAAAGAAAGAAAGAAAATTACAAGCACCTTTGATTTCAATTTCAATCCCCCGAGTGCTACCTTTGTAATATGCCAAGCAAGACATAACTATAGAAGACTTCCCATCAGTTTTAAACCCTAAAACCATCTTTACCTCTTCAATAAATTCCCGAGTAGGAGCACCAGGTCGCTTTTTTATTGCTACTAGCATACCATCATGAAGCAAGCCTTTGTACACTTCCCCAAATTTTCCTTCCCCAATCAAACTTCTATCGCTAAAATTTTTTGTGGCCAAAGACAGCTCTTCCATCTCAAAGCGTTTAGCTTCTCGTATGGTCAATTCTACCCCAACAGTTCTTCCAACTGCAGCTTTTCAAAACAAATCGGGAATGATTTTTTTTTCATACTGAAGTTGATACTTTGAAACTTGTCAATATATATATAATACAAAGTCACCTTGAATGGAGGGATCGGAAGAGCCAGTTTCAGAAGTTCTTGAAACGCTCTGATTATGATGTAGGCAGTACCATAATATTATACTTACTATACCAAGCAATGCCACAGCTCCTGCAGCACTTCCCAGTATTGCTGCAAGAGTCCTTGACATTTGGTATGGGGAGCCACTTTAGCTATACAGTAAAGTTGTTTTGAAATAGGATTTATGGTACATTGACTCTGCAATATACATAATGCAATTAAGCAGAAAAACAGTGTTAAAAAATTAATCACCGCCTGGGGTTGGGGGATAAGCAGGGGAAGACATTATCTCTGATATGATCATCATAAGACACAAATAGGCTTCCAGCAAGTTGTAAGCATCATTGCAGTATTGAATACTTCAGAATTGAATGAAAAGAAAACAGCTTTGTTCCATTCTTTGAAAATAAATAACTATACATAGCAATTCGCAAATGAGCAAATTCACTACCTCCATGGTGAAACCCGTATATGTAAGGAAGGTTGCAAANTTGGGGGATAAGCAGGGGAAGACATTATCTCTGATATGATCATCATAAGACACAAACAGGCTTCCAGCAAGTTGTAAGCATCATTGCAGTATTGAATACTTCAGAATTGAATGAAAAGAAAAAAGCTTTGTTCCATTCTTTGAAAATAAATAACTATACATAGCAATTCGCAAATGAGCAAATTCACTACGTCCATGGTGAAACCCGTATATGTAAGGAAGGTTGCAAAGAACATGCACTGGTCTAAGGTGTGTTATCAACGCGTACACACTTTCAAATGACTTAGAATCTAATTACAAGGCTAACATTGACAAAAAAGATCAGAGGCATTCAATAGACATCACAGTCCTAGCAAGATCCAGAAGCTCATGTTATAGCAACCTGACGTAACATGGAAAAAAGGATAACAAAGTGTAATCTGCATTAATATATATCATACTCACGAATCTAGTTTAGTATCAATTTTTGGGTTTCACTGCAGATACACAGTTCAGGTTCTGAGTTAACAAGCAGAATAACCTAATTGCCATCAGAACTGGACGGAATTAAAATTCTACAAGACTTATGTTAGAGAGGGCTAAAAAACATAATCTCAGAATTATTGACCTGTGTTGGCAGACAAATAGGGGATCAAGATCCCTAAAAACCCCAGCTTCATTTGGCAATTACTAATTGAATGGGTTTTCCAATAGAACTAACACACACAGCAGACTTCGGCCACATTCTCTCATTGAACAAGCTATTCCGGCAAATCAAGAAATATAATGAATTGCCAACCTTAATTGGGATTCAATTCAAAGCAGTGAAACCGGCACAGAGTCAGGACCCCTGTTGGCTCATTAACAGTTAGGCAACATGTGAAGTATCAAATCAATGCATCAACAGGTGCCTTAATCAAGCCCTTGAGCCAGAGCATTTATATCGGGGATTGTACTTTTGGGAATAGTTTAATGGAGATTGTAATTGAAATTCTGCTTCCTCAGCACCGTCGTCATCACCACCAGAGAATGCCGACAGAAAGTGACATCGCGCCCATACACAATCAGGGGTTTATTACTTCACCCACCAGTCAGAATTCAATATCTAATTGTGTATTGACGATTGAAAAACAAAAACAAACCCACTCTTATTCTTCTGATGCTTCAGAGAGAACCCATTATGGAGTTGAAAACAAAGCAGGGTATGTGTATCAAAAAGGGAGGAGAACACGATAAAAGAATTTACGATAAGAAACGAAACCTGAGAGAGAGAGAGAGAGAGAGAGAGGTATTATAATTTCTGCTAATGTCGGGCTGTAAAAGTAGTATACTGGGTTGTCTGCTACTACAACTTGGAAGGTTTTACTTTGCTCTGTCCTGTCCAGGGCATCTTGGTTGCAAACTGTAACAAATAATCCACTGCTCTAGGTACATCAACACGCGCGCCCGCGCACAGAGAGAGAGANTATTATAATTTCTGCTAATGTCGGGCTGTAAAAGTAGTATACTGGGTTGTCTGCTATTACAACTTGGAAGGTTTTACTTTGCTCTGTCCTGTCCAGGGCATCTTGGTTGCAAACTGTAACAAATAATCCACTACTCTAGGTACATCAACACGCGCGCCAGCGCACAGAGAGAGAGAGAGAGAGAGAGAGAGAGAGAGAGAGAGAGAGAGAGATGGGTATTATAGAGTAGAGTATTTGCAGCCAGTCGAAAAAACAAACAATTACTAGTAGGACTAGTATATAACAAGATATTTAGAATACCACCTAGGCCAGACTGGAAAGTGGAAACCAGCACTCACCAAAATTTGGTAAAATAACAAATGAACTATTTCAGAATAAAAGACCACCCAAAAAAAAAAAAACTTAAGAATAAAAAACCANTATTTGCAGCCAGTCGAAAAAACAAACAATTACTAGTAGGACTAGTATATAACAAGATATTTAGAATACCACCTAGGCCAGACTGGAAAGTGGAAACCACCACTCACCAAAATTTGGTAAAATAACAAATGAACTATTTCAGAATAAAAGACCACCCAAAAAATAAAAAACTTAAGAATAAAAAACTAGAGAGAGANGGAAACCAGCACTCACCAAAATTTGGTAAAATAACAAATGAACTATTTCAGAATAAAAGACCACCCAAAAAAAAAAAAACTTAAGAATAAAAAACCAGAGAGAGAGAGAGAGAGGTGTGGGGTTGGTATCCCCACCAGCCAGCTATGTTGACATTGCTACTACTCATCAGTAACGAAATGTTGATATATCCATAAACAAATGATAAAAAAAACAACGAAATTTTTATGGTACAGGAGTAACGGCTACTGCCTGCCCTTTTCACTTTGTTTATCATAAATTCCACGGCTAGACTTTGGATTCTCTAGCATGTTCACAACATTATAAACAAAGAAAATGAGCAAAAGTTGCTGCGCCGTCGAACACTTACACCAATGACACAACGCAAGTTTGAATAATCCTAATAATAATAATTATTATTATTATTATATAATATTACGCATTCTTCTATTCTACAACATCTGATCAATGATTGACAATTATAAAAGCTTCGTCACCAAAAAAAAAATTGTTTGATGCCTTCACCTGCTGTGTAATGCTTTTAAATAATGGGGATGCACAACCTCAATCTCAAGCTCTCGGTCATCTTCAATCTTCTACTTTTTAACATTTTTGCGTTATAGAGAGAGAGAAAAAAAATAAATCATGGTCATACTTTAAGAAGTGCCAGCAGTCATATGCAAATTGCATCCTCGGTGCAGCCCACTCGTAGGCACGTTACTTGTACACACTGGCCCCAATCATGTCATAACCCCCAATGGTCCAAACATTTAATATATAGTAATAATAATACGTGGTATTACATGAATACGTATAACAAAACATAAAAAATGACAAATTTGGTTTAGCCCACAAACAAACACAAGTGATATATTTAATAACTCGTAATAATTACTTAACAATCATGCTCGGTCATAACAATTACATACGAACAATAGTACAAATTCAAACTTATGATCATTTACCTCTTCTTCGGCCGTTCAAAATTAAGATAAACAAAAATTGACAAATAAATTAAATTTACACTTGTTTGATTTAATTTGAAAAGAAAAACACAACGAAAGATGATCATCAACAACTCAATAGAAAACCTCAATTTCAAGACACACGGATTTAAAAAAAAATAATTTGATATGATTAGACATTAAAAAGAATCGGTCATTTCGTACAAATGTAATAATGTAAGAACTATGAATGAAAACAATTATGCACAAAAAACAATTAGGCAATAATAATAATACAGGGTCATACAAGAGAGCAAATATCACAATAGACCACTCAAGTTCAATACGAAACATCTGATCAAACATTTTAAGAACTTTCACTCCAAGAAAGATACGTTCCCTAATCACAATTCAATATCCAAGTCCGAAGACCAACATAACTATCTAGATATTTTATGAACCCAGTGAAATCCTCTATAGTCTCAACCCTATACTAATCGATTATGTGTGCACTTAAATTTCATAGAAAATGATATCAGAGTTTCCAAATCCACTCGAATAATTCGAACAATCGCACAACACATTTCAAAATCCTAACTCGACCCGGAGTTTGAAAATTTGGGCGGGTTGGACTATCAACTTTAGTCCAACTCTATGTATATAATCTTCAACTCTAATCCTAACCCTACTTTGGGGTGGGAAACTCAACCCGAGCACTGCCCAAGTTTAATTTGGGCAGGTTCGAGTTGAATTCGGGCTGATTTCGAGTTACTTTACGGATTCAATTCGGGTAGAGCCCAAAATATGTTTGTTATTTTAAATTTAATACATATATTACATAATATTCACCTAAATTAACAATCAATAATTTCAACCAAGTTTTTAACGAGAAAGGTATATATATATATATATATATATATATATATATATATATATATATATATATATATATATATAGGTTTGTCGGGTTCGGGTTCACGAGACCTTAATTCGAGCTTAACTCAAATTAAATTCGGATTAAAATTTTTTGATTCAACTCTAACCCAAGTATTAAATTTTTTATCCAAATCTTAATATTTTTAGATTGAAGTAGTGTTGAAATCGGGTTGTCTAACTTAAATTAACCCCCTAGAAGGTACTAGGACCTTCCTTGAGATAAGGGAAGGCCAACCCGGCCAACAAGAGATGGTGCAACCACCCCACGCGCTCTCATACACCTTCACAGCTCACTTTCCCTTTATCTTCTTGAAAAAATCCCTCTCTCTCCCCTTGAAAAAATCATTATTTTGTTGATTTATAGTGTAACGAAATATGTAATGCACGCGCCTCACCAACAAAGCTAGAGAACAAATATATATATATATATATATATATATATATATATATATATATAAATGTAAAAGAATAAAGTATAATATCGAGATCTCTTTTGCCAATAGATTCAAACGCAATTTTTTTAGGTAATTAAGGACACATGATATATATATTTTTTTGTAAGTAAGCTCAATAGTCTATTTTCTTTTTTTTATTTTTAAATTTCTTATTATGTC